AGTGCTTGCTTTGAAGAGTGCTGTAAGTTCTCTGAATTCTTAGTGGTAATTTAAAATACTACAAAGATATTAGTATTTGGGGGAAAATGCTCAGGAAAATGTGACATTCTTCTGTTTGTTAAAAGGTTTTAGGTTTTGTTTTGGTTTTTTGGTTTTTTTGAGACAAGGTCTGGCCTTGAACTCACTATGTAGCCCAGGCTGGCCTCAAACTCATGGCAATCCAACTTCTTCAGCCTCCTGAGTGCTGGGATTACAGGGGTATGCCACCACACCTGGCTAAAAGTTTATTTTATTTTATTTTATTTTATTTTTGGTACTGGGGATAAACAGGACCATGCACTTGCAAGGCAGGAGGCAGTACCACTGAGCTAAATCCCCAGCCCTAAAAGTTTATTTTATTTTATTATTATTATTATTATTATTTTTTTAATCTTCCAGAGTTTATTGGTACTTTTTAAGTTCACAGTATAATTACATTTATCATTGGGATCTTGTACCCTTACGTGACAGATCTTGGTTCTCATTTTTCCCCCATACCCCTGCCCTCCTGTCATCCCCCTAAAAAATTATTTTAAAAGAAAATTAGGTCAAGGATTTAGCTTAGTGATTCCGCCACCTGCCTCACAAGCACAAGATCCTGAGTTCAATCCCCAGTACCAAAAAAAAAATAAATGAATGTAAATGAATGTATAAATGAATAAATAAATAAAATTAGTACAAAGATGAATATGAGTGTTGACCCAAATATATATTGTTGTGAGAGGATTTTGCTTTTTGTTTTTGTTTTGACTGTCATATCCTGATTATAGAAGTTACAGGAAAACTAGAAGATAAAATATAAAAATAAAATTTTCCAGAACCACACTATGCAGAGAAAGTTACTATTGTATATTAGTATTTTGGTATGTAATCTGTTTTCAAGAGAGAGCTTTCCTTATAAGACTGTGATCATAAATGATCCGTAAAACCTTTTCTTTATGTATTCTCAGTAAATACATTAAGGTATCATGTTCTCACATGCTTTTTAGCTGTTGCATAGTGTTCCTCACAGTGCTTTAAACATAAATGCCATAACCTCTTTATTGAAAATTTAAGAGTTATGTTGGTGGCATATGGCTATAACCCCAGCACTCTGGGAGATTTGAGGCAGGAGGATTGCAGGTTCAAACCCAGCCTGGGTAGTTTAGTGAGACCTTGTCTCAAAATGAAAAACAGAGGAGTGGGAATGTAGCTCAGCATGAAGGCCCCTAGGGATCAGTCTCTTCTACTGCAGGGGAAATTTTTTAGGTCATTTCAGATTATTTTCCTATTATAAATTATGCAGTGGAAGACATTCTTCTACATTGTGAGATCCTAGGGAAAAATAGTAGGGTGGAATTAATATACTAGAGAGTATAACATGCTTTTAATCCTTATAATACATGCTGGCAAGCTGTGCCCTAAGAATAATAAACCAAGTTGTAATGTCCTCAGAACTGCATATCACTACTTTGTTTAATCTTTGCCAATTATATCTCTTTAAAAATTTTTTATTTTTTGAGCCGGGGATTTAGCTCAGTGGTTCTGGTTCCTGCTTCGGAAGCACAGGAGCCTGAGTTTGATCCCCAGTACCAAAAAAAATAAAATAAAATAAATTTTTATTTTTCTAAATTTGCAAATTAACCTTTAAAATTAAATTATATGTAGAAATAACCACTGTGAACCCAAATTCTATCTGTGTCTTTTGTTAAATAGATGTTTGCCTCTCAACACATTGGATTTTGTTTTAGCCATGGGCAAACAATTTCCTTTGTACAATCAGAATGTACTTATTACTGTGTTCTCCCCATCATTGGGACACGTTACTGTCTCCAGCTTACTCCTCTGAGAACTGAGCAGGAGTTGATTAGACCTGTGTATCCTGCCCATCCCAGTCCCTAGAGTGTCTGCTGACCAGCCTGTGAGGTATAAAATCATCACTCTAATGCTTTACAGCCATTTAAACTTACAAACCTACACCATCTTGATACACTTAACAAACTACTTCCAAAAATGCCTGTAATCCATTCACATGTAATGGTTTTGTTTGTAGCATTAGGTGAAATTACTTCCAAAGACTTATTTTAGGTACACGTAGTAAATGATCGGGGCAATTTGATGGCAACTCTTAAAAACGCAGAAATTCCTTTTGGAAACTTTGATGGTGAGGAAAGTTTTCAGTTAAAAGATTCAGGAATTCTGTCATCATTGTCCTCTGTATGAAGATCTATCTAATTATTATATCTTTAATTGGCCTGTAGTCATGTTCCTCTAATAAGAATTGCGTGATGGATGCCTCCATCTGCTTATGCTTAAACATGAACATGTAATGCCAGCCAAACAGCCATTTAATGCTTTCCCAAACTGCTAGAAATGTGATAGCTGTACAATTTTATAATTAGAATAATGTTTAATAAGCGTATTCCAATTGTTGGTATTGGCACCCAAGTGTGTGCCTGTGTGCCTACAAAATGAAAGGCAGTTGTCTTTCCTTTCAAGTTTGTGCCTGTGGGAGACAGAGTCTGTAAAGAAAACTAACTTTTGGACGTGTGGTGCTGGGGATTAAACCCAGTGCTTTCACACTCTGACCTACATTCTCAGCCCTTTTCTTTCTTCCTTTTTTTTTTGAACCGGGGATAGAACTCAGGCCTTTGCGCTTGTGAGGCACGTGGTAGCACCACTGAGCTAAATCCCAGGCCCAGCCCTTTTCATTTTTTATTCTGAAACAGGATCTGAAGTGCCCATGCCGGTCTCAAACTTGGAATCCTTCTGCCTCAGCCTCCCAGAGTGCAGGTTATAAGTATTAATCCCCATGACCAACAACTTTAGTCATATTGTTTGTTTGTTTGTTTTATTTTTTAGACAAGGTCTCACTATGTAGTTGAGACTGATCTGGAACTCACTATGTAGCCCAAGCTGGCCTTGAACTTGTAGTGATCCTCCTGCCTCAGCCTCCCAAGTGCTGGGATTACAGGCATGCGCCACCATGTCCAGCTAACTTTGATCGTTTTTGTCTTTCTTGTGAACTTAGAACATCAGCCAAGGACTGGGGATTTAGCTCAGTGGTTCCGCTGCCTGCCTCCCAAGTGCAAGGACCTGAGTTCGATCCCCAGTACAAAAAAAAAAGGCAAAGTTACAGAACATCGGCCAAGAGAAGATTTGTAGTGTAGCCATGCTGTTTTCCATGCATCAACACCGCAGGATAGATATGGGTAGCGAAGCACTTCTGGGGGAAATCCTCCTATTTACACAGCCCAACATCTGCTTGCCACTGTTTTCCTCTGTATGTGCAACAAAATATTTTGTGAAATGTTAAGAACAAAGTTATCTATCAGTCTAAGACTTTTTTTCATTTTTGGTCAGTTGTTGCTTAGGTTTTATGGCAGTAGCTCTTCTCAAATATAGTCTGAAATTAAACTCATCCTTGAACTTAAACATAGCTCTCTCTATCTTCCCCCTTGAGATGTTCCTGCACCAATCTGTATTTCCTCCTGTCCTTTCTGCATGCCCAAAATTCTATAACCCAGCACTTTCTGTCTTAGTGTCTCTCCCCCAGTACATTTAAAGGATATTTCTTTTACTGAATAGCTTTGGAACTGCAGCAATAATAGAAACAGAATGAGAAATGGCCCTAATATAGAGATTTGGGGGGTCTGAATCACAGAGTTTGAGATGCTATCCATAGAACATCCCCTAGTGCTGAAATCCATATAGATAAATGGGAATTGTTTTCTGGACTCCTTTTTATTTTTAATGTCTTGGGGGTTTACTGGTTGTTAGCTTGAACTTCCTCATCTAAAGGAAAATGGAAAATACTGTTCATTTCTGTAACCTTATGGAAAAATCATTGACAGTCATTTTACCCAAGCCTCTGTTTGAAAAAGAAACTGGACCACACTGGAGACCAGTGATGTACCTTCCTAGCAGAACAAGTGCTGTTGTGTTTTAAAGGACCTTTGTTTAAAAATATCCCTCACCATCCACTCTGTCCTCTCCTCCCCCAGCTCGGGGTTTGGATCACATTGCTGAGAACATTCTGTCATACTTGGATGCCCAGTCACTGTGTGCTGCTGAACTCGTGTGCAAAGAGTGGTACCGAGTGACATCGTATGGCATGTTATGGAAGAAGCTCATTGAGAGAATGGTCAGGACAGATTCTCTGTGGAGAGGCCTGGCAGAACGAAGAGGGTGGTAAGCACTTTTAACTTTCTCCTATTACAGAACTTCCAGACCGGGCCATTTAGCATCATGAGAAGACTTGGGAATCAGACCACTTATCACTTAACATAGTGGGTTTGCTGATCTATAGCTATAAGTGTAAAAGAAAATAGTTGTTTGTATACTCAGCAGTTACTCTTCTGACCAGTCACTCATCAAATTATGATATAATGGAAAACTGACCACCATCCTGTTTGAAGTATTCTGTTCTCTGGGCAGAAATCGGTATTCTGCAAAAGAGCTGGTAGGCAATTTATTTTGCAAGTAGATGACTTTGAATCATATAGAAACCCTCAGATCCAATTTTACCCTAAGATAATGATAGGACAAATGATTATTTTCTCCTCCAGATATATTCTTGGTTTGAGCCCATGCTTCTGTGTTTTATCACCTTTATAATCCAAATTTTTTTTATGCCCAACTAGAATAAGAACTATAGCTATCAGAAAAAGTGAAATTTAGTATAAAACTTTTTTTCTTAAATTTTCTTACTTAATTCTGAATTCCCCTGTTACCAGGTAGTCAGCAATCTAAAAAATATTACCAATTTTACTGTTCTCAACAATGGCATTATTTTATGAAAATTTCTAGATGTTGTCTATCTTTACAAAATTTTCTCAGCACATGTCTCTAAAATGTCATTATTAAAAAATCAGGTAGGAAAAAAATCAGGTATGACTAGTTCATAAATAAAGGTTCATGAATATTAAACATAGTATTTTAATTGTTAGAAAAGATAATAGACATGCTCAATGATGTGTCTCAAAACAGATTTTCTCAGTTGTTTATATAAAGAAAACAGTGAAGAATGGAGAAAAGAAAGAATTTTAAAAATAAAAAAGAATAGAGAAAAAACAAATACGTGGATTAACTTTCCTTAGAATTTTCATTAAAATATAATGCCCTTTTTATATCTTTGAAATTTATTAACACATTATTTTACACAAATATGTACTAAAAATTAAAAAGACAAGAAAATGTTAGCATATAATACGTAGAGTGGCTGCTAAGTTTACACCAAGTATTTAAGAGAATTTGGTCATTCTACCAGGAAGACTAAATTTTTTTTCCTCAGATTCAGTAAAGGAACGAAACACCAGCAATTCTTTGGCTGCATAATAATTATATTTAAAGTGATATTTCTTCCCAAATATGTTTTTCTTACTTTTCCTTATTTCATTATGTAGAAAAATAATTTTTCTTTCATAACTGATGTCATACTTTGGAAAGAAACTCTTATAGTGTAACAAAGCAAATAGGTTTAGTGTTTTATGACATTTAGAGTCCATCATTTTGCTAAGAATGCCAAGACCAGCTTTAGAAATAGAGCAGGCAGTTGCTTACATGGGAAAATTTTAGGGCAAAGATTTCTCTGTCCCTCAGGAAAAAGAAAAGAAACTCTTCTCCAAATAACTCCTGATCTCACATTTTGGTTGAAGAGACTCACTCCCTTATCTGTATGGTTTAGTTCCCTGTTAAAGTACATTTTGTTCCCATTTGGACCATAAATGACAGTAAACCTTCATCAGACAGTGGGAGTTGAATAAACTATTTTTTGAAGGAAAAGAGAACAAGAAATGGGCAGTTCTTACAGATGGATATTAAAATGCCAAAGGTAAAAATAGGTTCCACAGTTTTGTTTAGGGTTGGCACTAAGCAGCAGCAAGACCTTCCATGCTAGCTACAGAAATAGTAGACAAACTTGTGGAAAAGCTGGCTTGCAGGGCATTTCAGAGGATACACAAAGGTACAGCGGAGAAGTGTGAAGGTGCAGCCACCACTGATTGCCGCTCTTTCCCTGTCTCTTCAGCTCTGTAGGTCACTTTCAGGCTTCTCACTGCACTCCCTTGTCTTTGGCCACACTTAGCCTCTGAACTGGTGATCACCCCATGAAATTACCGATCACCTGCCCACCTCCTGTCTCCTCCCTCCAGCATCTCTCTGTATAAGTTGTACTCCCTTCAAAAAGTACTAATTCAGACTAGTTTCTCATTCTCCTCTTTTGAAATTATCTTACCAAGTCTACTGTCTGAAGTTTTACGTCACATCTTTATCCATATGTTGTCTTTGAAAGTGTTTCTCATTTTTAACCAAAAGTAAACAAGTGAATACAGTTTCCCAGTAGAGCTTTGAGTCTCTTGAGATTTAATTTCCACTTTGCTGTTTTATTTTACATCTAGATGGATTTGACAGTCTGCTCTGGAACATGAACTCTGCTTTTTTTCTCTTGAACTGAATGTGCTCACTCTCTCTGCTCAATAATGGCAATTCTTAAAAGTATGATAAAAGACCACTTGGGAAAAGTCCGTTTTCTTAATCAGCAGATCCCATTTATGGTAACACTCTGAATTTAATACTGCACATTTATCATGTCCTCCACACCGTCACAGGTGCTGGACATTCATGCAGAATCAGTCCCTGTGGTCAGAGAGCTTCCGTCATAATAACTGTGACTCAGAACATATGGAAAGGCCAGTTCTTAAAGCACTCATATTCCTTTTTGTAGTGTCTTTGAGTCGAAGGAATTTGGATACCTATGTTAAAGCTGGTGGGGTAAAAATAGGATCAGAAGTTTATATGAGTTCTCTTTCCCAAGGACGTGGCAAGAGTATTATGTGCTCCCTTTAAAGAAAACCCTGCAGTGCCTATGTATGACTGCCAGAGACTAGAAAGAAGACAGATTCAGGAACCGTGGGCACTGAGAAACAAAGCAACTAAATATGGGCCCTGGAGTCACACCGAAAATTTTCTCATTCAGAATCTTATTTGCCTGCAAAGTTTTTACAGAATAAGATTATTCAGAGAAGTGTACCTTTACTCCATAATTGTCTCCTAATATATCTTGTTTGTCTCCCCTTCCCACCATGTTGGGGATTAAACCCAAGGCCTTAAACATGTTAGGCAAGTGCTGTACAACTGAGCTACCCCTCACCACCACCCACTTTTTATTTTGAAACAGGGTCTCACTAAATTTCCCACATTGGTCTTGAACTTGGGATCCTCCTGCCTCAGCCTCCCAAGTTACAGGGATCAAGCACTGTCACAACCAGCTCAACTGCCTTCTTCTTTTCGCTATTATGTCCTATTAGTCTGCTTTTAAAATAGTTTTTTAAATTTTCTTTTCTGATTAACACAAAAGTTAGAGCCACCTACCTTCTTGATAGGAAATTTTCTCAACTAATTTTCAAGGTGTAGGATAGGAAGAGGGCACGGAGAAGCGCTCCAGGAGCATGGAGCAATTAATTATATTGTAATGGAGCTGCAGACGGAGGAGTGGCTGGCTGGCCCAGAGGAAGCATCACTCCTCTGGTGCTAGGCTGACACTTGGAGCTCTTTCTGCCCGTCTCCACCCTGCATGGCGCATTGCCAGTGATGGCTGCAGTTAGAACGCCCACAGCGGGTTTACTGGCTTCCACACCGTGTTCGGTGAGTTCTTAACTTCAGGACAAGGAATTAAATTTTTTAGCCAGCAGGAAGTGATTGCCATTTACTGATTTTTTTTTTTTTAAAGCAAAGATCTGACTTGGAATATGAGTATTCCAGAGATGTGCTGTCATAGGAAAGAGCTATTAACAAATGCTGCTCCCTGGAATCGGGAAGGCAGTAAATGCATGTGTGTGGAGGCATAGCCAGGAACGCACCTGTGAAAGTCACCTCCGTGACTTAGATGTGACAGCACAGCGCTCTTAGGCTTTTCTTCCCATCTTTCTCCCTTCCTGCTCACTGTTGGACACTCTTGTGGTCCTCGGTTTTCTGTTGAAATGAGCTGTATGTCCAGTTTAGGCACAGCCATGCTGTTTGCCCAAAGCCTGGGTGCCTGGGCAGCCAACACACCTCACCCCACGGAACAAAGATCTGGACTGGTGATGTCCATGGGGGAGGCATTGGTGCTGCTGTGCTTGGCTCCTCTGACACTGGCACAGCTTGACTCAAGGAAAAACAAAGACATCAAGGTCCTGTACTAGGTCAGAAGTAATAGCTACCATTAACTAGCAAAGTTTTCAAAAGATAAGGTCAGTGAATCTGTACAGAAGCCTAGCAGACCAGTAGATGAATTCTGATTAAACATGCTCTTTTGACATAGCATCTCAGAAAGCTTGGAAGTCTGATGTTTGGCAGTAGAAATAATCATGTTTTACCCAAAAACAAGCCAACGTCAAGTTCCTTAACACACAGAAAGTTACTGCTTAACATGGAACTCCTGAAATCGGGCTCATTGTCACACCTGTCCAGGTTTGTCATGGAGAGCACATGGACTGGTAACTGTGAAACACTTTAAAGAAATATGTAGCCCCTTATAACTGTATACTGTGGTTTTCATTGGGAAATATTTGTTTTTTTAGGGGACAGTATTTATTCAAAAACAAACCTCCTGATGGCAATGCTCCTCCCAACTCTTTTTATAGAGCACTTTATCCTAAAATTATACAAGACATTGAGGTAAGAATCTCTGTATTGGGGGGTATTTGCCAAAGACAGAATGATTAGCATTCTTCATTTTCACTATTATTATAGCAAATCCATTAAGGTTTATAGATGTGGGTTAAAAATATCTTTACAAACGAATAGGGTGGGTAAAATAATAGTAAATTGCCAAGCAAATTTTGTAAAGCTTTAAAAAATTGGATACTTATAAGCAGAGAGAGCAAAAGAGAGATTGACTTTCTTACAATAGTTGTGAAACCTTTGAATTTGTGCTCCTAAACTGACTGTGGAGCACTATTTATGCTCCTAAACTAAATATGTCTTCTGAAATGAGCCTCCATGGAAGTTCAGTGGCCACATTTGTGGTAAGAGCATGGAGCACACCACCTTTCTCCGTGCATATTTTTAGTTTTCTTGAAGTTGTGTGTGTCCCATAGATTACTGCATTGATCTGTTGGTTACCATCAATGTAAGAGGTTCAGGTCCATTCCTGATTACCTGCCTCTTCTCAGACCATAGAATCTAATTGGAGATGTGGAAGGCATAGCTTACAGAGAATCCACTGCAGAAGTGAAACAAGCAAAGGAGTTTACTGTTTACAGTACGATGACCAGAAAATTGTAAGCGGCCTTCGAGACAACACAATCAAGGTAAGTTCTCTTCATTTGAGAGAGAATAGCTAAGGGAGCAAGGGTACCCACATTCCTAAAGCAGTTTGCATCATAAACTCTTAAGTATAGCCAGTCATGGTGGCACACACCTGTCATCCCAGCACTCGGGAAGCTGAGGCAGGAGGATCACCATGAGTTTGATTCCAGCCTGGGCTACATAGTGAGTTCAGGGCCAGCTTGAACTGCAAAAGGAGACCCTGCCTCAAAAAGCCAAAGAAAGAGAAACAAAAACAAAACACCTGAGCATTACTTGTAGGAAGCGAAAATTTTAGATTGGTTCCAGTTCCAAAGCCAAATCATTTCTTTAGAGGACTGACATCTCCCCCTCCCCATGTAAGCATACAAATTAAGTCTCAGGGGTAACTTTCCTTTTTGAAGTACACTGAGGGGCTGTAATTCCTTCCATTGGTCTACATTTAACATTTAGCTATGCTTGAGTACATTACAGGAGCTCACACACTGTGTGGTTATATTCCTAGGGGAAGGGAACAATTTTTTTATATAATTATAGCCTGCCCCTGTTCCTTAATGAAAAGAATAAAGTTTACATTAGAATGGAAGCCACATTGATAGGTGCTTAACCATCCCGAAGAAGAGAATAAATAATTTTTATTAGAATGGAAGCCACATTGATAGGTGCTTAACCATCCCGAAGAAGAGAATGCATTTCTAGCTGTTCTAGGCTTTGATTGAGTGGTCAGACACAATAGAGCCCACGAGTCTCCACATTCCCCATTATCACAGTGGTCAAAAGGATCTTATTTGCCATCCTAGATCTGGGATAAAAGCACATTGGAATGCAAACGAATTCTCACAGGCCACACAGGTTCTGTCCTGTGTCTCCAGTATGACGAGAGGGTCATCGTAACTGGATCATCGGATTCCACAGTTAGGTAGGCAACTTCAGAAGCTCTTTTGAACTCTGTAGCAACTGATCTCTCTGTTCTTTGTCACAGATATTAATTTTGTACATATCTACATGAATGCAGGTCTGAAACTAAGGAAGAAAAAAATATCAGTTCCCATCACTGTGTCAATTTAGAACCTAAAACTTGATTTAGGAATGATTGGATTAAGTTGTAATTTTTTTTTCACAATAAGAAACTATGCATTCTTTTTTAATTTAGAGAATCTTCCCTCCATGTCGAAACTTACCTTTACGTAAACCTTGCATTCCTAACACATTTCTCAAGAGAGAGGGAGTAAGATGAAGAGAATGAAGCCTCCCTTTTCCAGTAGTTAAACTGTGGCACAGGCAAGCATTACCTCTTTAAAATTCATACAGGTGAGCAATGCTGTGCTCTCCTGCTGCCAGCCCCTCCCCTGCTGTCCCTGCAGTTCTTAACCATGAGCTTCACTCAGGGAAGGGACTTCTGTTTCCAGAGGCAGTAGTGATTTGATGACACAGGCATTATGCTGCTGGAGTCCAATGTAACTTGAGTTCTGGGTACCAGCAGCACTGCTGGAAACCACTGTTAGGAATTTTGCCTTCAGCTAAAGGATTTAGCAAAGATAATGCATCAAAAGTAACTTTTTAAAAAGCTACAAAAAGCAGTTAACTGTGTTGTTAAATTCTCTGAAGTTAAATGTTTGCCATTGGAAATTATCCTCTGTGAATAGAAACTGCTGCTCCTGGTTATTGTCTTTTGACTTCAAGCCATAGCAAACCCAGTCCTTCCACTTGTCAACATTTAACATTTATTGGTGCTTGTAGACCTTGCAGGAGCTCAGACACTGTGCGTGGTTGTATCATTCATAAGGGAAGGACAAAATGTGTTATTTTTTTGGTTTTGGTTTTGGTTTTGTTTTTTTTGTTTGTTTTGTTTTGTTTTTCAGTACTGGAGATTGAACTTATGCGTGGTAGGCAAGTGCTATACCACTGAGCTGTACCCACAGCTCAGAAAATTACTTTTTTTTTAAAGAAGGCCAAATTGTAAAAAGAAATAAAATGTTATTAAAGCCACATTCATTATACAAAAAGAGTAACCAAAGTGACAACAGAAAGTCCTTAAGCTATCCAAGGGTTTCATGCTCTGCCTTGAAGCCAATATTTACAGTGGGAAGGCCACTGTTGGCCTCCACCCCTGTGACACAGAAATGTGGGCTTATATTTAGTCTGGGTAATCTTGGCTCTTGAGCTATGTGGTAGACCTGTAATCCTGGGTAATCAAGTTCACATCTACATTACTAAATCTGTCAGAAATATCTTGGCCCTTGTTGGTTCTAGTTCCTGAGGGTGGTTAATGGGTAGACACCAGTGCTGTTGTTACTAATCAGACTCCTCATTTAAAATATATCTCCTTAACAGTGTCAGATTGACACCATTTATAATAATCTCGAACACTGGGCCAAATGATCAGGCACTGGTGGCTGCCACCTTATCTTTGTCCTTCACAACTTGCCCAGATTTCAATTTTTAAGGGTACCACCTGGCACCCCATCCCTATCTTTCTACCATTCTCCCCGTTTTTTCCTTTGTCTATCTTCTTTTACCCTGTGGGCCAGCATTGCTCTCCATAGTGCTGCAAAAGAAGATCAGAGTATAATACATCCTGTGCACCTATGGGAGGTGGGTGGGGAGCATTACATTCAAATACAAGTGGCTTGTTGTAGCTTCAGTGCCGTCTAACTCTCAGATGTTCCCTTACAGAGTATGGGATGTGAATACAGGTGAAATGCTGAACACATTGATTCACCATTGCGAAGCAGTTTTACACCTACGTTTCAATAATGGCATGATGGTGACCTGCTCCAAAGACCGTTCCATTGCTGTATGGGACATGGCCTCCCCAACTGACATCACCCTCCGAAGGGTGCTAGTCGGACACAGAGCTGCTGTCAACGTCGTAGACTTTGATGACAAGTACATTGTTTCTGCATCTGGGGATAGAACTATAAAGGTAGTAGGGCATTTTTCAGTAAGTCCCCCATTTAGAGTTCATGTGATGTAGTGATGTAGTGGTCACTGATACTTTATTTCCATAAATAATGGTGGTGGGCTGGAGATACAACTCGGCGGTAACTTGCTTGGCACGCGTAAGGCCCTAGATTCAACCCCCAGCACCACAAAATAATAATGGTGAACATGAAAAGGGCAGGGATAAATCTAAGTTGAAGAAAACGTTATCTATAAGACCAGATAGACCTCATAGATTAGTTTGAAGAATAACCCTCTGATCTCAGCCAGCTTCTAATTAACCCAGTATTACCATGAATTAAGTGAAATTTGTTTGCTTTGGTCTATATGTTTGAGAAATGGACATCTCCTTAATGGTTCAGTCCTGTTTTCTGCTTCCTTATGACTCCATTTGCCATACATTTTACCAGCAAAAGCACCACATCACTACTCAATGTCATTTTACATCTTAGGTATGGAACACAAGTACTTGTGAATTTGTAAGGACCCTGAATGGACACAAACGAGGCATCGCCTGTTTGCAGTACAGAGACAGGCTGGTGGTGAGTGGCTCATCTGACAACACAATCAGGTGAGCAGCGGGCATCCCTTCTGAGCATTAACCAGTATTCTGCTGCTCACTGTTTGGACACAGATCAGTCACTTTATGATCAAGTATTTTTCCTTTCTCTAGCTTCTTACAGATCAGAAAAGAGGCAGAGAGGCAGCACAGCAAAGCCTTTTGTTTATGTGTTTCCTCCCTGTAATAGTTTTATCACCAGGTGGACCTAGTCTGGAGGTACTAGTCAGTAAGCAAGAAAGACAAATGGGGGCCGGGGATTTGGCTCAGTGGTTCTGCTGCCTGCCTCACAAGTGCAAGGTCTCGAGTTCGATCCCCGGTACCAAAAAAAAAAAAAAAAGACAAATGGATGATGGTCAAAAGCCACTCTTTTTGGAGTTGCCCACAGTTGAAAAGTGCTAATAAGTAGCTAATAAATGGTGTTAATAAATAGCCGATTTTGTCAGTGTTGTTGAAAAAATAATTTGTTTCCTTACTAAAAAGCATCTGCTTTTGTCTTAGCATTACATAATTGGCCAGAGTGTTACTTGTATAAAGATTCTGTGTGTTACAGTACTTTTTTGTGTTTTCCCCCTTCACAAAAGTGAATGATACAGGGCCAGGGATTTAGCTCAGTGGTTCTGCCACCTGCCTCACATGCGCAAGGTCCTGAGTTCGATCGCTGGTACCCAAAAAAAAAAAAAAAAAAAAAAAAAAAAAAAATATGAGTAGAATTTGGAAGACTTACTCATCCTCTCCCTTCAGTAATTACTGAGAGGAAGAAGAGACTATTTAAAGAAGTCAAGCTAAGAGTAAAAGCAAAACAGCTATTGTTATATCCAAAGAAAATTACCATGAATCACTTAGATTGGTCTGAAAGCAGGCTGCTTTTTAAATTATTACACAGAACTTCTTGAAAACTAGCTTTGTATTTCCATGATATGGAAGAAGACCAACCTGGTGTGAGTGAAATCAGAGTCCTCAGACCCAGAGGCGGAGGTGTTGTAGGAGGGTGCTGACACTGGGCCCCGTTCCTACCAGTGATTTCAAGAAGCACTGCTCTCCACTCTCCAGTGCTGGTCACTTCCTCCCCAGAAACTGTGTGCACTGAGTTAGTCCCTTTCTGCTTGCAGGAACCTGGTTATAGAATTACATAAAAGATTGTGCTTTAAAAATGCAGACTACGTATGAACTTAAATCATACACTCTTGTGCCTAAGTTATATGACAGAAAGAAAATACATTACATTGAAGACTGTACACTTTTGTATGAGTGGCAATTCATTTTATTTTTGTGGGTTTTTAAAAGATGTGAAGTATATTATTGTAACACATCAAGCTTAGTAAAGAATACATGAAAATTCATATGACTCAATTTTCTCTTCTAGATTATGGGACATAGAATGTGGTGCATGTTTACGAGTGTTAGAAGGCCATGAGGAACTAGTGCGATGCATCCGATTTGATAACAAGAGGATAGTCAGCGGGGCCTATGATGGGTGAGTTTGCTAATAAGGTTAAGAAACAAGTACAAGAACTGGGTGTAGAGGTACTGCTCAGTGGTACAATACATGTCTTGCATGTATAAAGCCCTGGGTTCAATCATACACCACCTGCGTGCATGTGCACACACACACACACACACACACACACACACACACACCAGTGTCTACACTTCTTCCTGGTTTACAACCATTTCTTATTTCTAAAAACTAACAAATTTCACAAAAACTATCTAATACAATATTTCTTTATGTACCTCTTCTCTGTTTATTCTTTTGTAAAATATTTTCCCAGTCATTTTATTATATTTTTTGCATGTGAATGTCATTATTATTTTAGTTCCTTGCTTGTGATTTTGTCTGTTCTGTAAGACAAAGAACCAGACAAACCCAATCTATCAGGATATGCATACAACATGGTGACTTACTAATAAATTGGATACATTGGAGGGCAGTATCTTTGAGGCTTAGTGTGTGGTAGGGTCTAGAATTTTGATTTCTTTGATTTTGATATCTGAGAGATTCCTGAAAGTTCAGCTCTCTTGTCATCACTTGTAGCATTCCATCTATAATGAATTCAGTAGTCTTTATTTTCCTCAGTCTAATTTCCAGAAGATTTAGAATCAATTTGTGTTGTGAATGGATCACAAGTCCAACAACACTAGGTCCCAGGCAAGCTTATACAAAAATGTTTTCACTTCTTCTTTTTTTTTTTTTTTCTTGTCCGGGTACCTTATTTGTGGTGGAAATAGGGGAAATGGAAAGCTACCGTTCAAATTCTAGCAGCTTTTTAAATTCTAGAAACCAGGGTCAGGGATTTAGCTCAGTGATTCTGCCACCTGCCTTGTAGGCTCAAGGACCCTCGTTCGATCCCCAGTACCAAAAACAAATAAATAAATTCTAGAAACCAAGAACATTAACTTAGCTCCTGAGCTGACTGTTAGCAACACATTAAAACCAATTCAAGCAGCAGGAAGTGTGCCCAGCTTAGGCTTAGCCTCTGCTTAGGGTTAGCCTTGGAGAACTCTCTGGGCTGTGTGACATGTTCTAGACAGGCCAATGCTTTATTTTCTGGCTTTGATCTGTCTCTACTTTTTGGGGGTTTTATCTTTATATAATTGAGGAAATGTAGTCTAGATAGTGGTGCCTCAGTTCACGAACTGAATTCTTTCCACATTTCTGGTCACAAACTGAATTGGACTAGAACCAAATTAAATTTCATCATAAGGTCAACATTGAACCTAACCAGTGAATTTGATTCGGTTCTCATCCAATTCAGTTGTGATCAGAATCATGGAAAGAATTAAGTTTGTGAACTTAAGTACCACTGTAATTGATTTTCAGAAGGGCTTAACTTTTCTAAACTTAAATCAAAATGTGAAGGTTTGCTTGTGTAAAGCCCACAGCTCTTAAATGGATCCCAGACCTCTGTTGCTTGAGATATGGGCCATTCTTAGCCTAGAAAGAGGATGACTGAGAGCTGAGTAATCTCTATCATTAAGAGTTCTCATGGCCAGACACGACAGGGCACACCTGTAATCCCAGCCACTCAGGAGGCTGCAATGAAAGATTGCAAGTGTGAAGCCAGCCTGGGCAACTTAGTGAGACCCTGTCTCAAACAAACAAACAAAACCAGCTGTAACCCAGTGGTAGTGTTTGCACAAATGCAATGGGTTTAATCTCTAGCACTGTGGAAAAAAAAAAAAAGCAACGGAGTCTGGTGTACAAGATCTCCATTTGGCTCCAAAGTATGCTATACCTTTACCATTAGCTGTCTTCAGTTTGGTTAAAGCTAACCTGTTTCTCATTTTTAGGTTAATCATGTACATTTTCCCCCTGCTGATACCAATAACCCCTACCCAAGAATGAATACAGGGACCAGTTTTCCAAAACAAGATATATTCCTGTGAACTGGATTCATAATATAAACTCTACTCACCATTCATATGTATTTATTTTAGTTGTTGCTGTTCTTCCATGTATTTTCTTAACTGCTTTTGACTGAGATTTTGGTCCCCTTTTTTGATCTTTAGAAAAATCAAAGTGTGGGATCTTTTGGCTGCTTTGGACCCCCGTGCTCCTGCAGGGACTCTCTGCCTGCGGACCCTTGTGGTAAGAGCCTTGTGGTTAGGGGGTTAGGAGGACAGTAGATTAAATGTTGATGTGCTGTGAATGTAGATCTGGGTCAGATAGAGTCTCACCAAACCTGTTAAGTGAAAAGGCAGCCAGTGCATGACAATAAAGTATGTCTGTACAGTGCCTTTCATCCGAAAGTGCTTTAGAGACTACATGGAGAGGAATGTGGCAGCTGTTCAGCAGCTGCACAGCACCTCTACAACAGTGTAGTACAGGAAGTGAATAAGAATTGTGTGGCCACCAGAAGTCGCAGGGGGTACTAAGGGAAAAGGAATATAATTACTCAAATTGGAACTTGTCCAGAATCTGAGGACATGCACACCTGTGCCTGTAGAAAGTGCTCTGGGAGTCCTGAGAACCTCGTGGCCAGCCCCTTAGTTCTGTGCCTGAGCAGCTGGATCAGATCTGATGCTCCCTGTGTGTGCCTCTGTGTGACATCAAGTCATGTGGGGAAGGAGTCTAAAGGCACACTGTGAGCAGCAGAGCACTTGCCACTTGCCTAGCAGGCTCAAGGCCTGGGGCCCTGGGTTAAATCCCCTTCGCCACAAAACGTAGGGAAGAGGGACAGCACTTCCACGAGCAATAAATCCTTCCCTGTCATGCTAGCCAGAAGCGCAGATCAGCAACTCCTGCTTCACTTGGAAGATGAGGTAAGCCCCAAGGTGGCAGGACCTTCTGCACAACTCAGGGAAAGACAAGAGCGAGCATTCAAGACTTAGTGTTCTGAATCCTGGCTCTTAGCACTTCAGTGTTCTTAGTACTTCAGAATTGTATGGGTTTGAAGCATATTCTCTCAGAAGTGCACTACTTTCTGTGTATTTCACATGTCCTTTAAAATGTGTCCTGTCATTCATTTATACTTAATCCAACAAGTCCACTGTGTAGAGTTGTGATTTGCATACAGGAAACCTGACCCTTTTTCAGTGTGCTGCTGTGAGCTTGCACTTGTGTAACTGTTACTGCAGTCAGGATACAGAACATTTCTGTCATCCCCAGTTTCGTTGGGCTTCTTCGTAGCCTTCCCTACCTCCTAGCAACTGTTAGCAACCATTCGTCTGATTTCTGTCACTGTAGTTGTGCTCTTGTGAATGTCCTATAAATCAGACCGTATGTATCCTTTGTTGGAGATTTATCCACATTCCTGTATGAGTACTTTGCTCCTTTTTATCCCTGAGTAGTATTCCAGTGAGGGGGTAAACCAATTTGTTTATTTGTTCACTGTTTTGAGGACATTTGGGAAGTTTCCAGTTCTTGTTGTTTCTGAGTAAAGCCACTGAAAATTTTTCTCTACAGGTTTCTGTGCCCGTACTGTTTTCCTTGCTCTTGGGTAAATATCTAGAAGTACGATTTCTGGATCCAGTGGTAAATGTGTGCTTAAATTTGAAAGAAACTACCAAGCTGCTTCCCAAAGTGGCAGTTTGGATTTTTCAAAGGCAAAGCATTTTGCATTTTTACTAACTGTATGGGAGTTCTCTTTTTCTCCAAGTCTTTGCCAGCACTTGGTATTGTCAGTATTTGAACACATTACAGCCATTTGAGTGAATGTGCTGTTTGCATTTCTGTGATAACTAATGATGTCGAAAACCTTTTCATATGCTTATCTTTTGAGAAATATCTGTTCAGACCTTGCAACCTGTTTGTCTGTTTTGCTGTACTGGGCATTGAAGCCAGGGCCTTTGCCCTGAGCTGCACTTCCACCTGCTTGGATCCTCCTGTCTCAGCCTCCCAGAGTGCTACGATTTTAAATATGTGCTACCACACCCAGTTCATTAAGTTGGCTTTTAAAAGCTGATTTTTGAAGTAAAATTAGCGGTAAAGTAGACATATTGAAAGTAACAAAGCAATAAACTTTGACAAAGTGCGTCAGTGAAGCTGTGCATGATAATGTTCTCACCCCTTGGCAATTCCTTCTTCCCATCTCACCTGCTTCCATGCCCCCCTCTCTAGCTAGCCCCTCATCTGCTTCCATCAACACTGATTAGTTTGCTTTTATTTTGTTTGTAGTGGGGATCATTCTCAGGACCATGTGCTTGCAAGGCAGGTGGTGGCACCACTGAGCTACATCCCCGGCCCAGTTTGCATTTTCTATACTGTACAGTATGTCCTCTTTGTTCCTCTTTTCACTAACAATAAGTTATTTTGATATTCACTCTGATTTTGATGTCTAGTAATAGTTCCCTTTTTAAAATTTGATGAATAGGCAGGGTGTTTTGGCACATGCCTGGAATCCCAGCACTCTGGGAGGCTGAGGCAGGAAGATCCCAAGTTTGAGCCCAGTCTGGCTAACTTAGAAAGTTAGCAAAGACTGTCTCGATTTTTTTTTTTTTTTAAAGGGCTAGAGGTGTAACGTGGTGCAGAGACCCTGGGTTCAACCCCAGTACCTCTAATAATAATAATGATGATGATGATAATAATAATCTATAAACATTTATAGACAAGTTTTCATTTTTTTAAATCTATTCTGACCATCTCTGTGTTAATGGACGTGTATAATACATTTATCTTTAATATAATTTTCATATGATTTTTAATCATGTTGCTACTTTCTACGTTTGCTCTTTTGAAGGATTACTTTTGAGAATGTTGTTTTACCTCAGTCTTTGAGTTATTATTGCATCCATGCAGCAGTCTCAGGTGGTGAGCTAGAGCACATGACCCTCTTTATTAAGGTGTGCTACCAGATGACCTTGTAATACTTCGTATGGAATGAAGAAACTTGAGACACTATTTCCATTGCTTCCCTCCTGCAGGATGTGTAACATTGGCATAGACTTTATTTCTGCGTGTGTTCATTTAAACAGGGTTGGGACACAGCTCAGTGGTAGAGCACAGCCCTGGCAATGGAGGTGTTGCGTTGGAGCCAGCCAACTATGGTCTGAAATGGTTGAAACCATCAAATAGAATAAATCCTTCCCTTTGAATTGTGTGTAACAAGTTTTCACCACTGGTCATAGTGACGCGAAGCCGGTTAGCATAAGGCTTTAGCACGTTAATACACTGTGTTAACCCTGGACTGGAGCACGCTGGAGGGCCTGTACTGATCTCGGACAGTGGCCTGCAGAGCAGAGACTGTCACCAGGGCATGATGACAGGGCCAGCTCACCAAGAAGACAGGACCGTCCTTGATGTGTGTATACCTAGCAGCGTCAAAAAGTATCACAGTACTGCCAGGAGAAATAGAGAACCCACTCTTCTTTAATAGTTGGAGACTCCTGCGCCCCATTGATAAGGGCAGATCCAGAGGCAGCAGAATCAGTAAGAAAAGCGGAACTCAGCAGCCCCCTCCATGGGCTGTAATCAGCACCTTTAGAACACTTCATCCAGCAGTAGCAGATGTACATTCTTCTCAAACCACCGTGGATGGTTCACCAAGATACACGGCAGTCAGGGCCGTAGAATCTACCCTAACAGATGTGAAAGAATAGAAACGAGCTGGGATATGTGCTGCAGAAGCATGGCAGTCCATGGAATTCCAGCTATTATGGAGGGTTAAAGGAAGTTTGAGGCCGGCCTAGGCAATTTTCTTTTTTTGGGGCTGGGTCTCACTGTGTATTTCAGGCTGGTCTTGAACTTGTGGTGATCCTCCTGCCTCGGCTTCCCAAGTGCTGGGATTACAGAGGTGCACCACCACACCTGACCAGCCTAAGCCATTTAACAAGACCCTGTCACAATTAAAAACAAGACCTGGGCATATAGCTCTGTGGTAGAGCACTTACCTAGCTTGCATGAGGCCTAAATGCAATCCTCAGTACTTGGGGTGGGGTGGGGAGGGGATAAGGAATCATACAAGCTGAGTGTAGGGGCACACGCTTCTAGTCCCAACCTTTCAAGAGGCTAAGGCAGGAGGATCACTTGAGCTCACGAATTTGAGACTAGCCTGGGCAACATAGTGAAACTTCATGGAAAAAACGAATCATAAATCATGCATACACTATATCCTCTCAGACCACAGTGCAGTTAAACTAGGGACCAATAACAGAAAGGTAGCTGAAAAATTTTGACACACTTTTTGTCAGGCATGGTGGCACATACCTGTAATCCCAGCTACTTGGGAAGCTGAGGCAGGAGGATCACTATGAGTTCAAGGCCAGTCTGAGCTACATAGGAAGTTCTTGTCTCAATAAAGAAAGAATGGGGGCTCGGGGTTTTGCCCAGTGAGGAGGTCCTGGGTTCAATTCCTAGAGCCCAGTAAATTAAACGGATGAATGAGTAAATGGGCTGGGGTGTTTCTCTGTGATAGAGCATCCAGAGAGCTTGTACACGACCCTGGGTTTAATCCTCAGCATCGCCAATTAATTAAGTTTTAAAATGCTCAGTGCTGTTTTATATTGGTTGCCACACAACCACATGTTAAATAGGACTAAATAGGAGCTTAAGGCAGGAGGATCACTGTGAGTTTGAGGCCAGCCTGAGCTACATAGTGAGATGCTGTTTCAAACAAAAACTTTCAAGGCTTGAGGATTTGGCTCAGTGGTTCTGCAGCCTGCGAGTTCGATCCCCAGTCCAAAAAAAAA